ACCACGTCTTACCTTATGCACTAACTCCAGACAGGCCAGGTTGCGGGTCACGGTGATCGTCAGGGTCATCCATGTCATTGTTGGCGGGAATTGCAATCGCTATCCGCCGCAAGGTCTATATAAGTACTTATATAGACCTTGATCCGCCGTACCTTCTCGGACAGCGGAGTGTACAGCTTCCCGCCGAACACCCATATCTGGCACAGCAGCCTCCCATCTCACATATTTACGCTTGTCAATGAGTGTCTCGTCAATTTCCATTACAATTCCTGGTCCACCTATAGATTTCTGATTGTCTAGCCAGTGCTCCGTAACCTCGGAGCAAAAGCTTCGCCAGACCACACTCGTGCGCTCGGCAATATGGAGGCACCCCATAACGTTCTGATGATCCCAGTGTTTACTAAGCCAGTGATTGATGAAGGAGACTATTTGGTAAGGTGCAAGTCTAGTTCCCGAGAGAAACGTCCCTTTGTAATCGCTTACCGTGAAATTGCACTGTTTTCTCCGTTTTGTCTTTGCGATATTTGTCCACGCACCACAAACCCACTGGTGTCTGTCTTTTCTATAATGACACGCGGTGTCTTGCAGTGCGGGCACTGGACTTCCACTGGAAGAACACCGTGATCTCGCAGATACTGCAAACTAGCTTCGTTATTGCGATGATATTTTGCGAGAAAGTCGAAATAATTGTTCTCACCAGCTGCGCACTGTGTAGCCATGATTAAACTGATTCGAATTTCAACTGCTTTCTCCTAGGCCCAGCTTCTATTGTCACGTGATGATCTATTCCATATCTGATTGGTACTTTTGAATGTCTGTGGTCACGTCACATTCACGAACGAATCTAATTGGCTCATTTGGTTTCCCGCACATACGTCTTCCGCTACAAATCCGTCCGACTTTTCGTCGCTCTTAACGACTTTTTGTCATTTTGTCACGGCCTTGGAGGCGTAAGGTTCCTGCGGCTCCTGGAAATCGTGAATTTTATGCCCTCAATTACTCCGTTAATATCAATTTGCGAGGAAAATGGTATAGAAGAAAACTATCATAATACCGTATAGGTCTAACAGTGTATACATGTGTAGGTCTAAATGTGTATACATGTGTGTATGTGCGTGCCTGTGTGTCCATGAATGTACGTAAATGTGTTTGTGTGTGTAAATAAATGTGTATATTTGTCTACATATGTGTTTGTGTTTAAGTGTGTGTAGGTGTATTTGTTAGTGCGTGTGTGGTCGTGTGCGTGCATTCTCCCGTGCGCGCGTATTTGTGTGTGCACGTTTGTGTATAGTGTGTGTGTGTGTGTGTGCGTGTGTGTGTGTGTGTGTGCGTGTGTGTGTGTGTGCGTGTGTGTGTGTGTGTGTGTGTGTGGTGTGTGTGTGTGTGTGTGTGTGTGTGTGTGTGTGTGTGTTCGTGTGCGCGTGTGTGCGCGTTCGTGTGCACACGTGTGCACGTGTGTGTGGACGTGCCTGCGTGCGTACAAAACAGTTTCAATAGTTGATGTCAAGAACTTCCTCGCCCTTGATAGTGGTTACAGAACGGCCCCAGACGCACATGCAGACAAACAAACAAACGCACACGGGCCGAAACCTCGTCGACGGACCGAATCAATATTCAATACATATCTCTAGGTATTGTCCCATTATTTTTATATGTTATTTCACATGCGTACTCTTCTCTAAGGTCGAGCGGTCACGGCCACTTAGGTGTCAGATAAGGTCGCATATGGCCAGTATATTCATATTTTATTCAATGACCTGACTTTAAATATAATAATATAAGAATTGCAATAATAACGATAACAGTTATTACATTACTGGCAATGACGATGGTATTATCAAAATCATTATAGGTGACAATGATAATGATTGTGAAAATGGAAATGATAATTATATTGAAGTCGAAGGATTTTATCATCAGGCAACGGAATTAATCAAACTATATCAGTGACAAAAGGCAAACGCTAGCCTCATAAGCAACAACTCTATTAACATAATCATCAGTTTTGGAAATGATTTACAGAAAATATCGCTCGCAGGGATAACATCAGCGGTCTGAAGAGGGTACCACAGCCCCACTCTGTCTATCTCGGTAAGTAGGATCCACCGATATCCCTGGCGTCTTAGCACAAAGTAAGGAACAACATTATGCGCTTATTTACCCTCCAACAGGTTATATCCGGGGAGGTCTCATAAGCCGCATGTTGAGAAATTCCGTCATACTGGCAAATAAACAAATCATAACGAAACGACTTACCTGACAGGAAAGAATGCAACACATTCATCATTACAATTATTTTCCGACAACGGCCATTGTCGTGTAGATGAAATTGATAGCAACTAAAGGGGCAATGTACCCATTCACAAAATAATAAAAAAAACTCTTACCCCCCCCCCCACCACCACCAATTACACCATTAAGAACAAACTGCTAATACAACTAGGTGCTTCTTCAGACTTACTTCTGCTGTAGTTTAGTCTTCTTCCGGACCCGGAACTTAGCTATCCTTGTGTAATGGACGTCGGTGACTTAGTTCCTCTCCGAAACTCTAGTGCACTTTAGATCGATAACACTATTTCACTAACACTTGCTTCTCATTTCACTAATTCTACACTCATGCATCTGAAACGTATATACCTACACACTTCATGAACGGTTAGGAATATATGAGCACATAACCACAATTTTCTTCGTGATTTCGTAAACACTCGACTCCTGAGAAACCAACTACACTGATCTTTATAGGCTATATACTTACGTAACACAATGTCATTTGCCTTAGGTGCGTTTCAAACATTAACATTCGGTTATATTTATCGTTTTCTCACAAAGAAAAAACACGCAACACAAGCCTCGGAATTCACTACTTTCCTCTTTGTAATTTCAAGGACAACTGACAAGTTTTTCCGTGACAAGGAATTGGAAGAGCAGCCTGGCGTTGTGATTGGTTAACCCACGGTATCCCAGTCTCTCATTGGCTAGATTCTGTAAATATTGTCGTATAGAAACAGAGAGATAGCAGTCCGGTGTTGTGGTTGGTAGACTCCTGATGAACGACGCTCTCATTGGCCAGCTTGTGTAAACAGTCATAGATAAGAGAAGTTGGAAGTACATCATTTATGACTACACTCTCAGACTTTTAAACGTATACATCTGTATGTCCAGAACTTTCAATTGTTATCTCGTGTTGTATTAATGAATATAGGCTTACATTAATGGAACTGAGTAATGCTCCCTCCTTAATGGATAAAGGGATGTGGGGAAATGTGAAGTCTGCTCCCTCTTAATTCCGTTACTCTCCTAATATTAATGAATATAATGCAGGTTGCCCTGTGTATATGCCATCATTAAAAAAAAAAAAAAAAAAAAAAAAAAAAAAAATACACGGGCATTTAACGTAGATGATTACTTCCACGAAATGAAAACTTCGTCAGTGCTGTATCGTGGCTTGAAGATTATTAATTGCATTCCCCGTTTTACTACTGAAAGACATCACATGTCTGATTCTACATTACTAAAGAGAAGCAATATAGCGGAAAGGCCTACTGCCTATCGCGAGTTTCCCTGTTCTTCGCTTCGGTCTTTTGTTTACACTGTCTTTTCAGCGGCCATGCAGTTTTCGCCCTTACGACCCAACCCATACCACGAGCAAATATTTGGAAAGTCGTCGTCGCCGTTTGGTGAGGTCACAGTGTCTTGAATGTCGCTGCTTCACACTCGTTAAACCTATCTGAATATATTGCCTACGAAAAAAATATGATTTTACAACAATATATTATTATATATCAATGCATTATCTCTCTCTCTCTTTCCTTCTCTCTCTCTCTCTCTCTCTCTCTCTCTCTCTCTCTCTCTCTCTCTCTCTCTCTCTCTCTCTCTCTCTCTCTCTCTCTCTCTCTCTCTCTCTCTCTCTCTCTCTCTCTCTCTCTGTTTTATCAGGTTTGAAAAATGAATCTTTACGTCGTTCTTAATTTTCATATCGTCTTGTTTATTCCTCAGTTCCTTTCAGTTTATATTTATTGTAGTGTTGTATATCGCGGTCTCTGCCCACTTATATGGCATTTCCTTTAAATCATATTTGAATTTCAAAAATGTTATCTTTGGGAACGTTTATTTCACTGAAGCCTCAGTTCTGCATTTACATATATTTCATTTTACATTTTTAGGTGATTTTTGGTGTCCTTCCAAAAACGTCCATTTTGTTGATATCCTTTTCAATAAAATTACGTGTGAACATGATATCTATATATGTGTGTGTGTGTGTGTGTGTGTGTGTGTGTGTGCATATATAAATATATGTCTGTATGCACATACATATATAAATATATGTATGTATGTGTGCGTACACATGTATATGTGTATCATAACAATATTTTGTTATGTATCAATCATATATATATATATATATATATATATATATATATTTTTTTTTTTTTTTTTTCGAGACATAGAGAGAAAAAATATATGTAGCATATATAAAGTATCTGTGCGATGATTTGTAAATTGCTACTAATTTCCCTTGCTTATGCTTCTGCATTCGTAGGAAATTCAAAAGATATTAAACATTTATTGTCAATTACGTAATTCATAGGTTGTATTCGTCACACAGATAAGCTCGATAGCTGTTTCCCTAAGACTGATAGTGATGCTAAACATTTATTTTCAATAACAGGCTTAATCTATTGCATTGCATGTCGACGGAAAAGCCAAACACCAATAGACAACTTTCTCATGATGTAAACAACCGACAACAAACACTGAGGCCTGAGGAGCAGACGTAGAAACTGCGAATATTCCTTTTACGTCAAATAAAATCGGTTTGTGCCTTTCGAAATTCTTATTGTCAAGTTTTATTTTCTCTACGTATAATTATCTGCATATCATAAATAAATCTACTTCCTCAATATATAAACGTAAAAAGTAACCGCTGGTTAAGTGCAGTTGTCAATTCTGTAAAATATAAATATATTTTGAAAAACCTGTTGCAAATAAAAGTCACCTTTTGTTTTTAAAATTTTTATTTTGTACCGTTTGGACACACATGTTGATTCCTTTATCGGGTTTCTTTCCTGTCGCAGATATTTGTGAAATTAAAATAACAAATTACAGTCATCCTTAGTGATCGACTTCTCCCTCACGGACTACTACAAACCGCACAAGTATCCCCAAATAAAAAATACCGACAGTGCAATTATCAGAACTGCACATATCTTGCAATATGATTTATAAATCCATTGATTACAAAGATATTAAAAAGAAATTGGAAATTACATACATCATTATATAACAGTACAGAACTGTATACCACCTCATTCAGCACTTATAGTAGCCTAGTGTGTCACCATTATTTCGAGAGCAAAAAGACTTGAAAATAAAAATAATGACATTATTTCAGTGAGGAATAACTATATATTTGCAAAAAATGAATACCAGAACCAGTTGCTGTAATAGGAATTTCTTTCACTTCATTAAGATAATGTCGTCTTCATAATCGTGTTTTGATGTGATATCTGTAGCCAATAAAATGACGGTAGAAACTACTCTCTTCCCAGTCGTAACAGTGGGTCTACTCACCAAGATGTATTTTTTTTCTTGCTACACTTCACCTATGAATCAAATTATTTTACTTTCTGTTCATTTTCTTAGGTTACGCGCAATATGAGAGAGAGAGAGAGAGAGAGAGAGAGAGAGGAGAGAGAGAAGAGAGAGAGAGAGAGAGAGAGAGAGAGAGAGAGAGAGAGAGAGAGAGAGAGGGAGGGAGGGAGGGAGAGAAAGAGATCACAGACACAAGCCATTCTCCTCGCCATCACCCACGGAGGGGGAGGAGGGAGAGGAGGAAAAGGAGGAGGAGGAGAGAGAGGAGGAAGAAGAAGAGAAGGTACATACATTTTTATAGATGCTAATATTCCCCTTTTTAATTCCTATACATCTGACTTAATCTACATTTATGCATAAGAAAATTACCATTAACATGCAGTACTATAAGTGTTTCCTTACAGCTTGCTTCTGTAAAATCTGTCAAGACTAAATGACGAGAAATCAAGCTGAGGTTGAGAACCCATAGCCATCTTTGCCAGCGCTTCTCCACACGCTGGTGCGATCTTGAATCCAGTGCCTGCAAAACGGGTATTATTATTATCATCATTTAAATATTCGGTTCATATATAAGACTCTACATTCAACAGCTTCGTGGCTATACAATAGATTTTACATTTAATGGCCTTCCGACTACTAGGACCATATAAATGATTTTACACTACATACCTGACTATCTGAAACGTAGATAAAGTTTTATATTTCATGAAATGTGAACTGACTTTAGTGTAAGTGATATGGTACCCCCTCAGACGTTGCTGCTATCAGTCGGATGATTTTTTAAAAACCATTTGTGATTAATTTCAGTAACACTTTTGGGGTTATGAAGATGGTTGTACATTAGCTCAGCAGGAGAACCAACTATCGTATCAGTTACAGACCCATCATGGAACACCCTTTTATAAAGAAATCATATTTCCTTACATGTGCGTATACATGCATGCGTAAGTATATCTTCTATACTCAGAATTGCTATCTCTATCTTGGCTAGTTCGTACTCAAAGCATTGACTGAATGTTTCAAACAACTATTATTTTTGAATACAACTGACAAAATATAGTTCACAATCAACAAAACTTGCCAGAGAATCCAGCACCAAACACCAGATTATGATGCTGAGGGTGTCGGTCCAACACAAAGTTGTTATCAGGGGTAATCTGAAACGTTGTAAAACTGCTTAGTTGCTAATCTATACATATCTTATTGCAACACATTATTCATATACAAGCTACAGGCGAATTAAAGTAGTTTTATAGTACTAAAAAACAATACAACAGTTAACAGAGATATGGCACAAGTACTATATTAGGAAAGGTATCAAAACCACACAGTTCTACATTATGTGTATGGAAGAACAACCCAAACAGATCTTACTGTATACATGCATGATTCCACCACAGAAGGTTTGGGCTCGAGGCAAGGGAAGAACCTTTTCACATACTCCTCTGCCTTCCTCTGCACCGTCGACATGTCCACCTTGTCTCGCTGGTCGGGGTCAGTCCGGAGCCCAGCATGGTAGCACAACTGTTTCATTAAAGATACAAACTAACCCATTACCAAAAGGAAATAATATATGGGATATAACAGAAATGATTATGCTAGATCAAGAAAAGAAACGTTTAATTGCGATGGTGAGTATAATAAAAGATAAATAGACGGAAATAAGAATATGAATTTATTAAGACAGGTTCAGGTACCTTCATGTATCCTGGGTATTCGTAATCTGGAAGGGCATAGAAATGATTCTCAGGGGAACTCAGGTCAATGAACGTAAACGCCGGTGTCTTGGGATCTCGGAGTTTCCAGTAGTAGACGCCAATCTTCTCTGCTCTGAAAAAAAAATGAAGAAAGAGGAGTAAGGAAACTGTTGTGGTATTGCTGGTGTCTCTCCCTCCCACTCCCTCT